CAGGTCTAAACCACCAGGACTCTAAACCAGGTCTAAACTAAACCAGGACTAAACCAGGTCTAAACCAGGACTAAACCAGGACTAAACCGGTCTAAACCAGGTAAACCAGGTCTAAACCAGGTCTAAACCAGGTAAACCAGGAAACCAGGTCTAAACCAGGTCTAAACCAGGTCTAAACCAGGTCTAAACCAGGTCTAAACCAGGTCTAAACCAGGACTAAACCAGGAACTAAACCAGGAAACCAGGTCTAAACCAGGTAAACCAGGTCTAAACCAGGTCTAAACCAGGAAACTAAACCAGGTCTAAACCAGGTCTAAACCAGGAAAACCAGGTAAACCAGGTCTAAACCAGGACTAAACCAGGTCTAAACCAGGTCTAAACTAAACCAGGTCTAAACCAGGTAAACCAGGTAAACCAGGAAACCAGGTCTAAACCAGGTAAACTAAACCAGGACTAAACCAGGAAACTAAAAGGAAACTAAACAGGTCTAAACCAGGTAAACTAAACCAGGTAAACTAAACCAGGTCTAAAACAGGACTAAACCAGGTCTAAACCAGGTCTAAACCAGGACTAAACCAGGTCTAAACCAGGTCTAAACCAGGTCTAAACCAGGTAAACCAGGAAACCAGGTCTAAACCAGGTAAACCAGGTCTAAACCAGGACTAAACCAGGTCTAAACCAGGTCTAAACCAGGTCTACTAAACCAGGTCTAAACAGGTAAACCAGGTCTAAACCAGTAAACCAGGTCTAAACCAGGTCTAAACCAGGTAAACCAGGTCTAAACCAGGACTAAACCAGGTCTAAACCAGGTCTACTAAACCAGGTCTAAACCAGGACTAAACCAGGTCTACTAAACCAGGACTAAACCAGGAAACCAGGTAAACCAGGTCTAAACCAGGAAACTAAACCAGGTCTAAACCAGGTCTAAACCAGGAAACCAGGTCTACTAAACCAGGACTAAACTAAACCACCAGGTAAACCAAAAACCAGGTCTAAACCAGGACTAAACCAGGACCTTTTTTCTTTGATTTGTTGTAGTTTTCTGAGTCGTGTCTGTGACTCTGGGATCAGGTGAACTTTGTGTTTATGGTGTAAAAGTTATTTTCTTTTCTTTTTTCTTTTTTTCTTTTTTTTTTTAGTTTTTTTTTACTCATGTTCTCACTTGTAATAAAAAGACTAAATTAATTTTCCGAAACCCACTGGGACGAGGACGTTTTCTCGAAAAAAATCTCGACGCTCCGGCTCCGGATTTGTGACGCTGCAGTTTCCGCTCAGCACCACGGAGAGCTCCCCCTCGCACACACGCAGACCTTCACACAGCGGGACCCTCGCACACACGCAGACCTTCACACAGCGGGACCCTCGCACACACGCAGACCTTCACACAGCGGGACCCTCGCACACACGCAGACCTTCACACAGCTGGAGAACATCACTGCACATCCGTTCTTCTCTCCCACCAGAACAACTCCGAGTCTGAAAGTCTGAAAGTGATTCCTCGTTCACCCGACACGAAACGCAGCAGAGTTTTACCAGTTAGTCCTGGTTTAGTCCTGGTTTAGTCCTGGTTTAGACCTGGTTTAGTCCTGGTTTAGACCTGGTTTAGACCTGGTTTAGACCTGGTTTAGTCCTGGTTTAGACCTGGTTTAGATCTGGTTTAGTCCTGGTTTAGACCTGGTTTAGACCTGGTTTAGACCTGGTTTAGTCCTGGTTTAGTCCTGGTTTAGTCCTGGTTTAGACCTGGTTTAGTCCTGGTTTAGTCCTGGTTTAGACCTGGTTTAGTCCTGGTTTAGACCTGGTTTAGTCCTGGTTTAGTCCTGGTTTAGTCCTGGTTTAGACCTGGTTTAGTCCTGGTTTAGACCTGGTTTAGACCCTGGTTTAGTCCTGGTTTAGACCTGGTTTAGACCTGGTTTAGTCCTGGTTTAGTCCTGGTTTAGACCTGGTTTTAGTCCTGGTTCTAGTCCTGGTTTAGTCCTGGTTTAGACCTGGTTTAGACCTGGTTTAGTCCTGGTTTAGTCCTGGTTTAGTCCTGGTTTAGTTCCTGGTTTAGTCCTGGTTTAGACCTGGTTTAGACCCTGGTTTAGACCTGGTTTAGTCCTGGTTTAGACCTGGTTTAGATCCTGGTTTAGTCCTGGTTTAGACCTGGTTTAGACCTGGTTTAGTCCTGGTTTAGTCCTGGTTTAGTCCTGGTTTAGTCCTGGTTTAGACCTGGTTTAGTCCTGGTTTTAGACCTGGTTTAGTCCTGGTTTAGTCCTGGTTTAGTCCTGGTTTAGACCTGGTTTAGTCCTGGTTTAGACCTGGTTTAGACCTGGTTTAGTCCTGGTTTAGACCTGGTTTAGACCTGGTTTAGTCCTGTTTTAGTCCTGGTTTAGACCTGGTTTAGTCCTGGTTCTAGTCCTGGTTTAGTCCTGGTTTAGACCTGGTTTAGACCTGGTTTAGTCCTGGTTCTAGTCCTGGTTTAGTCCTGGTTTAGACCTGGTTTAGTCCTGGTTTAGACCTGGTTTAGTCCTGGTTTAGACCTGGTTTAGACCTGGTTTAGACCTGGTTTAGTCCTGGTTTAGTCCTGGTTTAGTCCTGGTTTAGATCTGGTTTAGTCCTGGTTTAGTCCTGGTTTAAACCTGGTTTAGATCTGGTTTAGATCTGGTTTAGTCCTGGTTTAGATCTGGTTTAGACCTGGTTTAGTCCTGGTTTAGTTCTGGTTTAGACCTGGTTTAGTCCTGGTTTAGACCTGGTTTAGACCTGGTTTAGTCCTGGTTTAGACCTGGTTTAGTCCTGGTTTAGACCTGGTTTAGTCCTGTTTTAGTCCTGGTTTAGACCTGGTTTAGTCCTGGTTCTAGTCCTGGTTTAGTCCTGGTTTAAGACCTGGTTTAGACTGGTTTAGTCCTGGTTCTAGTCCTGGTTTAGTCCTGGTTTAGACCTGGTTTAGTCCTGGTTTAGACCTGGTTTAGTCCTGGTTTAGACCTGGTTTAGACCTGGTTTAGACCTGGTTTAGACCTGGTTTAGTCCTGGTTTAGTCCTGGTTTAGTCCTGGTTTAGTCCTGGTTTAAACCTGGTTTAGATCTGGTTTAGATCTGGTTTAGTCCTGGTTTAGATCTGGTTTAGACCTGGTTTAGTCCTGGTTTAGTTCTGGTTTAGACCTGGTTTAGTCCTGGTTTAGACCTGGTTTAGTCCTGGTTTAGATCTGGTTTAGACCTGGTTTAGTCCTGGTTTAGATCTGGTTTAGTACTGGTTTAGTCCTGGTGTAAACCTGGTTTAGATCTGGTTTAGTCCTGGTTTAGATCTGGTTTAGACCTGGTTTAGTCCTGGTTTAGTTCTGGTTTAGTCCTGGTTTAGACCTGGTTTAGTCCTGGTTTAGACCTGGTTTAGACCTGGTTTAGACCTGGTTTAGTCCTGGTTTAGTCCTGGTTTAGACCTGGTTTAGACCTGGTTTAGTCCTGGTTTAGACCTGGTTTAGACCTGGTTTACCTGGTTTAGACCTGGTTTAGACCTGGTTTAGTCCTGGTTTAGACCTGGTTTAGACCTGGTTTAGACCTGGTTTAGTCCTGGTTTAGACCTGGTTTAGATCTGGTTTAGTCCTGGTTTAGTCCTGGTTTAGATCTGATTTAGTCCTGGTTTAGTCCTGGTTTAAACCTGGTTTAGATCTGGTTTAGTCCTGGTTTAGATCTGGTTTAGTCCTGGTTTAGTCCTGGTTTAGTTCTGGTTTAGTCCTGGTTTAGATCTGGTTTAGTCCTGGTTTAGTCCTGGTTTAGATCTGGTTTAGTTCTGGTTTAGTTCTGGTTTAGACCTGGTTTAGTCCTGGTTTAGACCTGGTTTAGACCTGGTTTAGTCCTGGTTTAGATCTGGTTTAGTTCTGGTTTAGTTCTGGTTTAGACCTGGTTTAGTCCTGGTTTAGTCCTGGTTTAGTCCTGGTTTAGATCTGGTTTAGACCTGGTTTAGTCCTGGTTTAGTCCTGGTTTAGATCTGGTTTAGTCCTGGTTTAGACCTGGTTTAGTCCTGGTTTAGACCTGGTTTAGACCTGGTTTAGACCTGGTTTAGTCCTGGTTTAGTCCTGGTTTAGTCCTGGTTTAGTCCTGGTTTAGTCCTGGTTTAGTTGGTTTAACCTGGTTTAGATCCTGGTTTAGATCTGGTTTAGTCCTGGTTTAGATCTGGTTTAGACCTGGTTTTAGTCCTGGTTTAGTCCTGGTTTAGTCCTGGTTTAGATCTGGTTTAGACCTGGTTTATCCTGGTTTAGTCCCTGGTTTAGACCTGGTTTAGACCTGGTTTAGTCCTGGTTTAGTCCTGGTTTAGACCTGGTTTAGACCCTGGTTTAGACCTGGTTTAGTCCTGGTTTAGTCCTGGTTTAGACCTGGTTTAGACCTGGTTTTAGTCCTGGTTTATACCTGGTTTAGGTCCTGGTTTAGTCCTGGTTTAGTCCTGGTTTAGACTGGTTTAGACCTGGTTTAGTCCTGGTT